TTTCTCGGCTCCTAAACATCGCCAACCACCGCCGGCCCCCCCTGCTATCTTCAACAAAACATGCTGTATGCCCAGATGCCGTGCTAGTAGAATTGGTTCTCATCTTCCCCGAAATATTGGCACTGGCCGAGGCATCGCAAAATGGCTGTGAGTGTGCTTTTCCCAGGGGCTGTGGACAGACCGCCCATCCCATGCCCCAACCCATGACGTCGAAGCTGTGTGTGCTGGACATTTTGTACTGACCACATGTTTGTCTTTGTTTGTTGCAGCCCGACCCGAACAAGGCCGCCCACTACATCAAGGCTCTCGACGATGCGAGATGCGACGGCAATTGGAGCGCTGTTCCCGAGTTCGTCCGCAAGATCAGGAAACATGCGCCTGACCGAACCTGTCGGTGACCTCGAACGAAACCTGCACACGCGGCCTCGTCCACCCTACTGACTTCGAATCCCCTACAGGTCTGACCTTGGCCGCCGAAACCGAATGCGCAATTGCAAAAGCGACCGATCCCTCAGGCGCGGGCCGACCAGCAACTGCCGTATCCGCGAAGGACCTCGATGCTGCGAATGTCATCACGAAGCTCGAAGCGGCCGTCGACGGAGAGTCACGGTTCCCAGAGGACAGGTTCCAGGCTCAGGTCTGCGCTGGCTTGCTGCATTGGGTGGTTGGCGAGTTCGATCAGGCTGCCGCGAAGCTGCCATCGAACCTGGAGCAGGAGCTTGCGCAGCTCAGCTCTACCGATACGCTCTCCGAATGGACCAACATCAGCGCACTGAAGGCCGCATTCATCAAGGCCAACTGCCTGTCTCGAAACAATGAGACCGCTGAGGCCCTGGTCGTTTTTGACTCTGCGCTGCCCTCCGTTTCCGCGCCTTCGGCAACCCGCAACGCCCACAAGCAATTCAGAGTATGGTCGGAGCTCTTCCTGACGGAATACTGTGTGCTGCACAGCCTAGCTCTGCGCTCGAACGAGAGGTCGCTGGAGGATCCCAACTCGCTCGCCTGCTTCCGATCATGGGCCAGATACTGGGAGTCGATGACGGGACCTGTCACAGGAGGGTATGGATATAGGGGTTCCGTGCCAAGGCGACAGGTGTGGTTAGAATACTACCTGGCTCTCACGAATATTCTCGAGCTAGATCTGCCCTTCCCGACAGGGTTCCTCGGCAAGATCACCAAGGAATCCTCAGCACGGAACCAGATGAGAATCGAGCTCAAAAAGACTGAAGCGGCATACCAAGCGCTCCTGATCGGCGAGACCACCTTCCCCAAAGCCGACGAAACCAGAGAAGAGGTTGAATCATTCGTGAGGACTGTCGTCAGCAACTGGTCTATCCTTTGCGGCCGCGGTTGGAAAGACCAGGATCTTGGTCAAGGAGGACGCGAGAGCCTCAGCAGAGGTGTTCTCGATACTCTCTACGACTGCGCAACCAAGACGTACCACTCAAGTGCCATCCTTCGCTGTCTGTTCACGGTTCATCTTGCGGTGGCCGAGTTTGATCTCGCTTTCAAGGCCTTCGACTCATACCTGGATCTGGTTAAGCACGGCAAGGCCAGAGTCGACAAAACGGGCCACCTCGAGGCCAACCTCGATGATGACGGGACGGTGCTCGAGACAATGTCGCAATGCATTCTGGCTTTGTGCCGCTACGGTGGGAAAGACGCCATCGAGAAGGCTCGTGACATTGGCAATGTGCTCGAGGACTGGTTGTTCAGACTGCCGCAACTGAAAAATGGTGTCGAGAACGAGAACAGTGTCCCGGAAGAGGATGAGACGACTACCATTCACCCCAAGATCCGCCCCCACCTGATTGCGCTGTCGTGGCAAGCCATTGGTCTCTCGCAGGCCCACTGGTCGAGAATCACACACGACGCAGCGTCACGAACCGAGATTCAGACAAAGGCGATCAGGTGTCTGAGAAAGTCGCTTTCCCCGGAGCTGGGCCGCACTAGAGATGTCCGCAGCCTCTTCGCCCTGGGTCTTTTGTTGGCTGAGCGGCGGGAACTTACCCCCGCAATCGACATTGTGAAGACAGCTCTGATATCCAACAAGTCTGCGGACGAAGAGCATAGCCTCTATCACGGCCCCTTCTGGCAGGAGCGCTCTCTAGTTCCCCTTTGGCATCTCTTGGCCCTCCTTCTGAGTGCGAGACAAGAATATAATATGGCTGCCAAGGCCTGCGAGGGCGCTTTTGAGCAGTTCCGTGACCCTTCTGTCCTATTCGGACGGCAGGATCTCCACTTCAAGAGTGAGCATCTGAATGATGCCGAGGCTCAGGACGAGAAGATTGCCAACGAACGTAAGGGGGTTGTGGACGACATGGACGACACGGAGAGAGAGAGCATTCTCGAGGTCAAGATGACGCAGCTCGCACTCGTTGAGCTTCTCGAGGGTCCCGATGTGGCTGTTAACGCAAGCTCCGAACTGTTGTCGCTGTTCAACCGGCTTTTCGGAAGCCTCGAGGCCAAATCTACAACGCAACCGCCCAAGACGGGATCCACAATGCTCCCACCAAAGAGCTCGGCAGGCACGTTGAGGAGTCTTAAGGGCAGCATCTTCGGTTCGCAGCGAACGAGGAGGGCAAGCATAGCGGAGACTGAGAGGACAGCGCGCCCAATGACTACTCAGACCTCTGCAAGTATCGCGCCGACCATCCAGGTCACTCAGGAGAACGGATCGCCAAACGAAAAGCGATCGCGCAGACTCTCCAGCGTCACCCGCCGGGCAAGAAGCGAGTCTGGCAAGAGGCACAGTCTTCGCAAGCGTGATAGCAGCGGCGGCCGCAAGAGGACATCAAGTGTTAGTAGCGCAGGCACGAACCCTCACGCGCCAACTGTTCTTGATGGCGAGGTGTATTTCACCCCCGCGGACGAGCTGCAACAAAGCGAGTTTCCGCTTGGAAACCGTCAGGCCTCCACGGCATCAACCATCTCTCGGGGCCGGTCACTCCATCACCTTGAGTCTTATACTTCTCAGAAGTCACGGTCTACCAACTTTTCCGAAATCTCTGCCAGTGCTACATATACCATCTCGAACCCCCTGCCATTAATACACTTTCCTCAGGACCTGGAGCGGAGACAACGGGCTGCTCTGCTGGTCAAGGTGTGGTTGATGATTGCGGGTTTCTATCGCCGGGCGGGCATGTTTGAGGACAGCAAGGGCGCCATCTCGGAAGCCCAGAAGCTCGTCGGCATCCTCGAAGCCGAGGTTGCCAAAGATCCTACCGGCGCTTTGTCTTTGAAAGGCGATGGCTGGGCGGAAAAGAAGGGGGTTGACGAACTGCTCGGAGACGTTTGGGCGGAGGTGAGTTTCTTTCGTCTGGTATACTGCACGTAATCGCTGACAACACACCTAGTTGGGATATCTCTCGTTGGCCAAGGGATCGCCGTACCTCGCGAGGTCAGACTTTGAAATGGCCCTCACCCACTTCCCAGATCACGCTGCTGCGATCGTGGGCTTGTCCAATATTCTGCTCGATATCTACACCGAGAAGGTCTTGCCGCCGCCAGCAGTTCCGGTGCTGAGCGTGCCAGAAAACATCTCAAGTCTGTCACTGCCAGCGCCAGATCTGCCCAAGATCTCGGTACCGCAGCACGGCCTCCCGTCAGAGCCACTCGGACTGGGCTCCAGTGCATCGGGCTCAGGCATCGGCAAGACGAGTGCCCATCAGTCAGCAACGACGGCTTCGTCCATCAAGTCTCTGGAAAAGGCAGAGTCGGACGAGAAACTGCCTGCGCCGTACAAGGCAGCTTCACTGCCCAAGATTGACCGCCTCGCGGCGCGCGACCGTGCCTACGGTCTCTTGTCGTCGTTGACAAAACTAGGTGTCGCCTGGAATAACTCGGAGGCCTGGTTCGCACTGGCCAGGGCCCACGAGGAGAGCGGCCAGATCGACAAGGCGAAGGAGGTGCTCTGGTGGTGCGTCGAGCTCGAGGAGCACACGGGCGTGAGGGAGTGGCAGTGTCTTGGAAGCGGCGGATACGTGCTCTAATTACTTGTTGTAATCCGACCATCTCTGGTCCTGATTCCTGTCTACACATTTCTTGGTTTACTGTTAAGACATACAACGCACTCCAGTAGAGGCTTGCTGACAACCTGGCGGGCCGTGTTTTGTAGCACTATTCGATATCCGATTATTCTTGGGTGCCTCTGCTCGCCTTCATTCCTGACGCAGCCAACAGTATATGGTTGGAATCTCGTTGGCTAGGGCTACGCGCCAACCTTCAACGCCAACGGGCCGTTCTGCACTTCTGCAGTCTCGCGGCCCGCCGCGGCCATCTTGCCTGTAGCTACCTAGATCATAACTTAATCGAAATGCATTGCTCCCACCGGGCCAACGTCAGGAGATTTTGCGCAAACGAACCGGGGAATGGGTTCAAGCAAGGCCGGAAACCTCCGCCGGAGGTCACTCCTGTCTTATGTGCAACTTCCATGGAAGCCGATATCCGAGCGCAGAATTCGACAATGGAAAAACCTTACTTCTGTACACATGCAGGTAGGTCTATGCGCCTGTTCTCGCGCGCGTATGATCGGTCTTGTCAAGGTTTCCCTTTGCCGCTGGCCGCCCCGGTTTCTTGCATGGGTGTCCGTGTCTCTCTAACTCTGAGAAACTCTGGACGGCGCACGGCAGGTAGATTGCGGCGCGACTGAGAAAGAGATCTGTGCGACATCCAGGACGTGGGGGCGTCGCCCTGCACAAGTTGATCACCTTCATTTCCGACCGCCTCGCAGCCGGGATGGGCCGACTTACGGAGGATCTACGTCTCAAGTTGTGTTGTTCAAATGGTTATTTCGAAAAGTTAATGATCTATGCCATACATGACTCATTCCACGAGTTGTCTTGTCCGCTTTCCATTCAGGAGCAGTCCTCCAAACGCCAAGCCAAATTCAGTGGTAACAACCACCTGTAATGTAACAAACTTCGCCCCATACGCCCTCCATGGCTCGAAATGTGGTCCTTTGCAGATTGAAAGTGAAATTCCTCATACAGAGCAAGGCGCTACCACATCATCAAGTTGGGTGGCAGCTTGGGGTATTCTTCGCCGTCAATCATCTCGGTCCCGAACGGGTAAGCCGAGAGAGCCTCCTCCTCGGAGATCTCCTCCTCGCGTTCGACCAGGCCTCCGTCCTCGTAGATGTCGATTCCTCTCTTCCAGTTGGACTTGCATGTACCCGGAACGTACTTGGCGGCGTCCATAGCCAACGTCAACTTAACCTCCGGGCAGTAGTCCCAAATGTGTTTGCGTAGGGCCGGGGTACCCCAGATGGCGCTGTGTAACCAGATACCGCTGCCACCAGTGTGATATCCCATGGGCTCGTAGTAGCCTTCGCGGTAGTCGTCGATGCCAGCAACAAGCTCGCCTTCAGCGGCCGCCTCCAAAGTCGAGTTGGGTCCGTCGTGGTTGATCACGGTGCCCGGCCCTGTGTGCATTTCACCGCTGAACATCAAAGAGACGGTTCCGTTGGCAACCTTGCTGCCTGGGCGGTGAGCGAGACGCTCGGCGAGCCAGACGTCCTCGGGCTCGGATCCATCGACACGCTTCTGGTTACGAAGGATATCGATCATGGCGCTGACACGGCGGATGGACAGACCGCCGTTGCCACCCCAGCGACCGCCGGGGTTCCAGGGGGCGCCGATCCAATCATACTCGAGGTAGTCATTGATGTTCTGCCTGTTGTTGGCGCACAGAATGCTGTCGGTCTGGAAGACGAGCAGCCATTCGGCAGGCTGCAGAACGGTCTCGTAAAGCCACAAGTTGGTAAGGAAGCGGCTGATCATCTCCTGGCCGGCGGTGCTCATGTTGGAGGGAATATAGGTCAGGTCCAGCTTGCCGGCGGCGACTTGCTCGCGAATGGCGACAGACTGGTTGATTGACCGGACCGAGTCAATGGAGCCCATGAAGCGGAAGCGCCAGTCCGGGGGCACGACAGAGATGAAGTGCAGCATCAGAGGCGCCAGAATAGGGTTGGGTCGGTTCTCAACGAGGAGAGCGACCTTGGAGTGGTTGTATGGTGAATGTGCGTATTCGAGGGTGACCTTTGGAACGGTCATCGTCTTGATCGTGGGTAGCGAGAGCCATACCGACACGCCGCTGTCACCTCATTGTCAGTAACTCGTGCGGCGCAGTCCACAGGCGCAGCGAACAGCCCGTGATAATTCAGACGGTCGACTTACAGGAAGAGGACGAAGGCGCCGGCCACTCTCATCCGGCGGCTCGTCAGAGCCCACAGGGAGAGTAGCAGGACCTTGACCTGCTGCTTCACATCGGCCATGTTGGTGTCTGGCTGAGGTGGTAAAGCCATCTTGACAAAAGAGCCAAGACGGCTGGTAAAGAGCGCTGGGAGACGGGTCTCGGCGCGGCAGTTGTAGCGAGATGCTTCTGTCGGAAATTGTGTCGGGGGAGTTGGCGGCCAGACCGGCTGTTGGAGCGGGCGTGTTGGCGATTCGCAGAGCCGTCCGGTCCACAGCGATTACGCAGGTCGATGGCGCGGATGGGCGGTAGCGTGCCAGGGGAGGACTAAGGCATGCCCGGATCCGCGGCCGGGTGGTGATTACGACGACGGCAGCGGATGGCGAATAGACTGGGCTACTCGCGCGGATACCTGCTCATGGCCCGCGTTGGAGATGCAGGACAGAGGAGGTGTTGTGTGTTGAGAAAGGAAGGAAGAGAGTGAGAGGGAAATAGAAAGCTGGTCAGAGAGCGTGATGTGTCAGAGGCGCTGATTCCACTTGCACTAAGATGGCGGCAACTTTCCAGCGGCAGGGCCTCGAAAAGCGAACCCGCAGTGAATGTAGCTCTTGCCTCCCTTCAAAACGATGCCAGGCTGCTCGTCGAGGGTCGCGGAAGGAAAACTATCTGATGATAAGATACTGCACCCCTTCCCTTCCCCCCCTTACACTTGGCACCTGTCCACGCCAGCCTCCCACGCCTGGGCCAGACAGAGTTGTGCCAGCGAGTTCCAATCAAACAGGCCAGGCCCCAGGTCGTGGAAGTTTCAACCAAAGGGATGGCAAATGGGACGTTTTAGTGGGCTGCTAGTGCCCCAGACGGCCGAGCCGATTTTCTTCTTTTTCCCACACTGGAGCACCCAAGCACCGCTCCTCATGCAACTGAGGAGCGAGAGAACTGGAGGTGAAGCGAGCTCCCCTGCAGCCTTCCCACCCCTGGCTGCCGTCGACGACCGCCGAGCCCCTGTCAAACCGCGCAATGCAGCCACTGTAGCAGCATCTAAATCGGTCGAGTACCTGTCAGGTATCATAAAGTATCCCGTCGATGGTGACGGCCAAGCGCGATGATGAGGACCCAGGATGCTTTCGCCAGGCCACCTATCCGCACTGCGAGTGCGGTTCCTTCGCCGTCCCCTCCATTATCCTCTGACTTGCAGCTCTCCTCACACGTTTGACCTGGGGTGGGATCCTCCAGATTTAGAATGGAAGGGTTCGATTCGGTGTGTATTATGGCAGGGGAATAAGGAACGAACGGCGGCGGGACGTCACGCCACCATTCGCACTCCAACTCGACGACGTCTTCCAGCTGCTGGATGCCGCAACTGATACGAAGCGCCACGAAGCTGTCGGTCGGTCATAGGATGGCATTTTACGAACGGCGGTCGCGGACAGAATGCAATTTGCGGCGGGCGCAGCGGTTTTCGTCTCATCATCTTGCCCTGCGAACCGATTCGTGAGCGCCGGCGACTTTCGCAACAGCCTCCGAGACTCAGGGTACCTTGCTCTTTACCGAGTACGTGCAGGCCTTGGTCGCAATCGCAAACCAACAGTCCCCCGTGCCGCACTCTCGGTATCGCCGGCCGTGTCACCCATTAGCCGGGCCGTATTAAAGCCCAGGGGTACTAATCACAGCGCGTCGCCCAATGCTAGCAGCATGATGGTGTGTTGCGCTGTCTACGGGTAGCACATGGGCTCCCGATAACCGCTTCTTCGAGACGAATTGTCACAGACTCACGGGAGCCTCGTCAATCGCTTGATCCAACGTCAAATCAATCTCGGTTCCCCAGCGAGTACAACAGACCGAGACCCTGGGCCAAAAAAGACTAGATGCAAGGGCACACAAGGGAGGACCGTGTGCGGTGCTGTCTCAAATGTCTCGAGGCTTCGAAATGATCATCGCTTTTGAGTTTTTCAGACGAAAGGCTATTACATGAACGAACGGCGCCCACACTGATACACTGTGACACCGTCAGCAATTCGCCCGACTGTGATGGCTCATGCAGCCAACGGATGATGCTGTGTCTTGCTGTCTTGGCACCGGAGGCCGATGCGTTGGTTTGCTTCGCTCGCGTACATTGTACGATTCTGTGAATGGGAGGTTTTCTAGGTCGAGTCCAAACCGGCGGGCAAAACCAATCGTCGGGCACAATACATGGCCCTTGCTGCACATCGCGAGCCCTGTTTCTCCAGGCTCCAGCCTCGCTCGGTTGGTTCCTCCACACCATGCAGGGAGGACGTGAGATAACAATGTCTTGGCCGTACCCATATCGCTCCTCAGACCCGGAGAAGCTCCAACTTCCTTCTGGAGACGACACGACGGCAGCATTCTTGTTGCTTGCATGGAAAGCGTGGAGCGGAGCGGGCGTTGAAAAGCCGCGTTAGAGCGTTTAATCAAATAGACTCACCTCTCGAGATGGAAAAGAAACGGTGTCCTGAAGTCCGCCGCTGCTCGGGCGGAAGGCTATCGAGCGCAGCCTGCTCAGAGCTTCAGCTGGGCAGCGCCATTATTACCAGGCACATCATCCGCATATGCAGACGGCCGTCACTGAGGCCTTCATGCAGTGGTGTTGCTGCAGGTTCGACTGTCATCTGGAGTTGCGATAAGCCGTGCACGAATGGGCGGTGGTTCCGTATCAGACTGTATGCAAGGTGAGGTTAATTCGAGTAATGATAGTTCGTGGCAATTAAAAGTTGGGGCGATTGAGGAGCTGCAAGATGATTGACGAACCCCATTGACAGAGGAAATGATCTCAAGTGATTGTGATGGGCGGCAAAAGATACTGGACGGAGAGACAACGAGCCGGTGCTGAATCGCTCACCCCGGATCACGAGAGCGAGTTGCAACGCAGGGGGGCCCTTTCCCTCAGCCGGGCGCCCGCCGCCCGCCGTGGGCTCTTGCAGTGTTCACTGTTCACTGTTCAGTCCACGGGCCTTGGGTTGACGCAGGGAAGGGCGACGTGGAAGGGAGGAGCGACCCGGGAAGGTGGGGTCTACGGGAAGAGCTCCTTCCCTGCTTGCCACGCCAGCACCAGACGTTGGGCGGCCGGGCGGTACTTGCGGGTTCCTGCCGGTCACTTTTTTCTGTCTCTCTTTCCTCCCTTGCGCCCATGTGCTCCATGTGCCACCACCACCTCCACGTCCTCCCCCCCAAGGCCGACTCGATCTCGAACACCATCAACCACAGTCTAGACGCTTTGCAGGGCCCTCTGCTCTCGCTCCCACATATCCCGCGCCTAGTAGCTCCCCCCACCCTCCTCGCCAAATCAGTGGTGTTAGTGCTGGTGCGTGCTCTCTGTTGTGGGCGCAAGTGGAATTGCTTGATTTCCAGGCCTCCCCCTCCTCCCGCGCCCCAATCCGTTAGACCCCGAGGCTTGCGCTGTGAAGCGGACGTGGCCAACGGTACGGACATTTTGATGACATTCGACTCAGCAGCATCGGCACCTCCTGCAGCGACTCGTCATCTGCCATTGCGTGCCCTATCTATCTCAGGTTCTCTGATCGCCCTTGAACCCCTTGTATTTCGTTTTCCTATCCCTCGCAGACCTTGTCTCTGAATTCCTCCCGGCACACCGAACCCGAACGATACTCAGCCTCAATACCCCCGGAATTCCTGCGCGTCGGGGCGAACTTTCTGGACTCCCTCCAATTCCCTTCTAGGGACCTGTCAAGCTGTCCACAACGCGCAACCCAGTCCATATTGGCATTCTTTCTCGGCGGTTTCACAACTCGATATGACGCGCCGCTGATTTTTCGCCGACCCCGAGCGTTTCGTTCCCTCGACTGAGAGTATTGCCTCGACATTTTTTTTCGACTTCACCATCACTCACTACTGTTCCGCCCAAAACACCCGACAGCCGATCCCTTCACGTTCGTCTCGCTGCGCGTCCTTTGACGTCGAAGCCTATTCGCCATGGCTGCCGCAACCTCCTCAACGAGCGCTTTTGCCATTACGAAAGGCAAGCTCCTGCTTCTTGCCTCATTGGCTATCACGTTCGTCTTCCCGTCTGCATATGCAACCATGTGCTCTTCTACCCAGTACGTGCAACTGACATTTCGTGCAGATGGTGGTTCGCCCACATCCTCCCGGGCTACCAGCCCATGATCAAGGCGCAATTCAGGTCACGATTGGATGAGGCGCGGCAGAAGATTCCCAAGATCAAGGTCGACTGGAATCCGACCGACGACCCGAGGGCTAGATACAATGCGTCTAAGCTTGCGCTCATCATCGAGCCTCGTCCGCTCCCTCACCTGGTTCCCCAGCTGCTGCATATGACGTCTGTCGTGCCTCCTGACTGGAGATTCCTGTTCATCGGCTCCAACAAGAGCACCGTAAGCATCTCTCGGAGTTACGGCGTCAAGCACCAGCAGATCATTGGCAAGCTGGACTTGATGGTCCTTCCCGAGCCTTGGTCGATCGAGTCCAAGGAGCACATTTACCGCCTGTTGACCGACCGACGTTTCTACGACGAATTCCTCCCTGGCGTGGAGTGGATCCTCAAGTTCGAGTCGGACAGCATCCTGTGCTCCAACTCTCCGACGAGTCTGAATGAATGGTTGGACTGGAGCTGGGCTGGCGCGCCCAAGTAAGTCAACCCCATGCATTAATACCATTGCCGTCCTAACCCACCGATAGAACGCCCGACGACCGTTTCTCAGGTAACGGCGGTCTTTCCCTCCGTAGAGTATCCTCTATCAAGAGGGTCTTGCAATTCCAGGAAAGATATAACAACACAGAAGCAGAAGATGAGTGGTACGGCAAGAGACTGTGGGTGATGCAGGGGGAGAAGGTGGCGCACGGGAAGAAGGGCGCCCTCGCCGTTGAAGAGGTGTACATGGAGAAGCCGATGGGATACCACATTCCCGACGGCGGCAAAAACCTTCCCGACAAAGTCTGGAAGAACCCGACCCAGCGCAAGAAGATCTTTGACTACTGTCCCGAGGTCAGCCTGATCATGGACATGAAACTCGAACGCGAACGCTGCGACGGCGACAACAGAGAAGGAGGTATAGGCCCCACCGACGCAGAGAAAGAGCAGGCAGAAAAAGAAGCTAAGCAGAAGGCCGAAGAGCAGGCAAAAGCAAAAGCAGAGGAGGACGAGCGTCGTAAAAAAGAAGGTGAGGCAGAGGCCGCAAGACAAGCAGAAGAGGAGCGAAAGAAGCAAGAGGAGCAGCAGAAGCAGCAAGAGGAGCAGAGGAAGCAGCAAGAGGAGCAGCAGAAGCAGCAGCAGAAGCAGGAGCAGCAGAAGCAAGCCGGAGGCGACGCCCAGAACAAACCAGCTGACACCAAAGCAAATGGACTAGACGACCTTGACGAAAGTGACCTCGACGAAATGCTCAAGCTCGACTACGGTCTGGGGGGCGACGGCTCCTCTCCGTCCGGCCCGGGATCCACTGACGACGCCGACGCCAAGGCTAAAGCGATGGCTGAAGAGGCGAAAGCGATAGCCGCTGCGAAGGAATCGGGAAGCACTCAACCACTCTAAGGACAGGACCGACCGGAACTTCAAGAATCGACAAGCGATTGCCGGGCCCACGACATGCCACGACTCGGCGAACCGATAAAGTTGACCGTTTACCACAGTCGGATCGGAACGCTCCGAGGAAACGTCAACGAAACCAGGACGACGATGCCAGTTGGTACAACAACGAAAGTTGAGGCGACAAGGGAAGTCATGTTCTACGTCAACTAATCCGAAATGACGGTGCTTTAACAGTATGGAGGGGGGATCTTTAAGATGCACACCGTGGTTCAATACCAGCGGGGGCACTGATTTTTTAGGTTGCCGCGAATGCCGAGGCTTCCGCAAACGGCGTTGGACAGAGGGTTGTCGTGCGGTTGTGGCCGACGTCACTCAGACGAGGCGAGGAATGGTCCGATAATGGATTGATATACCAATTCCGGAGAGTGTGGCGTAGGGCGTCATGGAGTTTATATGCATAACCTCATTCAGCACAATGGTAGCCGGGTTACCGGCACATCGGGGACAATTCGGGAGGGCAGCGTGGGAGCTGTCAGGCAGGACACAATTTCAAATGAACATTCCGCGGAGAACAAGCTTGTTTTTGCACAGCCAATTGCATGGTTTCAGTGAGAACTTGACCGGCCACGTCTACAAGCAGCGGGCACGCCGTCGCGGGAGCTCGGGTTCGGTTTGCTAACGACGGTACCAACGACTCGGTTCACCCTGGTCCAAATGTTATCGCTGGACTCGGCCCAAGCAGCCGGCCGAGAGGCGAGATGCAAGAAGACGATGGGATGACAGCACCTGTGCCATGCCGATCCTCCGATGAAGTCTGCACTGCTTTGTTTATTTGTTTATTCCGCAGGCGCTTCGTCCAACTAGGCATCCTGCTCCAGACTTCCATGCAGGCGCAAGGACGTCATCTGCAAGCTTGACCAGATCGGTGGGCTCGTGTCTGTTCTGACCTGAAGTCAAATCTGCATCTCAACATCTGAGCGATGGCCTGCCCTCTGGCCAGGATCAGGTAGTTCAACGCCAAGACCACATCAACACATGGCCGGGCGACGGATACTGACGCAGATTGCAGGATACGCACTGAGGTGTCAGGGGACGCTGCTCACCTACGCGGTGCGGCAGAGCCAAGCAATCAGGGTTCCCCGTGGAGGAGAAAGGAATGAAAGATGAGATCGACCGGCAACCCGAATGCGTTCGTCCCATTTCTATTTTTTTCTCCGATCTTGCCAGCAATGGCCCAACCAACGGGGTGCGCTACTGTCAGGCACATCCGGGTTCGGCTTAGTGCTGCCGCGTTCTTGACTCTGAGCCAGAATCGCTACTCTATCCGGAGCCAAAATGGACAGACACGGAGGTAGGCTTCAACACCACGGAATAGGCTCCCAAGATAGCCTTGGAACGGGTGATGTCTTGTGGCGCGCCCGACCAGGCTTGTCCATGATCGGCTCTCTTTCTTGTTCCTTCGACAACCTCCACAACTCGCTCCGTTCGCTCGCCTTTCATAGCGGACGTCCAGAAGGGTCCAACGATGTGACCACGGCGTGGCATTCCACACCCCTCGAGCCTCTTCGAACCCGTCGGTGCGGCCCCGTACAGCCACTGGCGTCTTCGGCTCGTCCTGGCGTTTCCTCCCACAGTCACAGTCGCAACCGGTGGCTTGTCGCCCAGCCCGCTCTGACCGCGTTTCTTTCGTGTTCACTTACCGTCCCCATCGGTTCATCAGTTCCTATTCCCGTCTCGCTGCCTTCGGTATGGTCTCACCTGAACACTACGCTGGCATCTTTATCGCTTTCGCTCTTGGCGACGAGCTCAATGAATTTCTTCAGAACGGGTGGACCGGTTTGCAGCGTGTCTAAGGCTAGGCGCGCACATCACGGCGATTCCATGCCGATGAGTTCGTTGCTCCTACCCGTCCAGACGCTGATCGAGAATCTTTGACGCCACGCTAACTTTCCCGACCCGGCTACTTGGCGGCCTCGCCTCTTGACCCTCTAATTTCCATCCATCACTGCTCGAGCCTCCCGGAGAGGGGTGGGGGGTGCTTCTTCGCGTTCATCAGCAACCATGTTGTGGAGAATGTGACGCCGTTTCTGATGCCACGACCTCATCCTCGACGCCTCCCATGCTGTATATAACATCGATGGCCGCGCTTGAATCATGAGAGGCTTTTATCTCGGTATCCTCTATCAAGGTGCTTCAGTGTCCCTACAAGAAGCTTGGAGTCACTCTTTTATCTCCTAGGCCTTTTCTTTTATTTCTTTGCACCACTCACTATATTCATATCTTAGTTTTTGTCTAATACAGCGAGCCACAATGCGTTGGTCTCCCCTCCTCCTCGCCTCCCTCACTGGGTTGGAATTCGCTCAGGCACACGGCCACGATGAGCATGAGCCTCACATGAATGTCATTTGGGGACGCGGTGGGCCCAACGAGTTGCGACAGAAGCGTGCGGCGTACGAGGCATGGAACCCTCCATCAGTGCCACTCAAACCCCGTGGAGACGCTACAAGCCCCCTCGAAGCCCGACAGACATCCGGCCAGACACAGGCCCTGCCCTCCGGAATCGCGGTCGGAGATGGATCGCAGTGTGGTCCGAAGCTCGGAGCTTGCAACCCGGGCGACTGCTGTTCGGCTTCTGGGTATTCTCCAACGCTTCTCTGGCATGCAATCAGTGGCTAACCCTGCATAGATGGTGTGGTCAGGGCCCTGACTACTGCAACTCTCCCGATTGTCAAATCAGCTACGGCCCTGCTTGCGACGGCAACCAAAGGCCAAGCGGCCCCGACACTTCCAACGACGCCAGACCCAAGCTTGGTAGCGTTCCCTACGGCGGTGTTGGCATCTACAACTGCGTCAACGACGGTGATGTCGCCATCACTTACGACGACGGCCCGTACCTCTACACCGATGGCATGCTGGATGCTTTCAAGGCCCACGGTGCTGTTGCAACATGGTTCATCACTGGTAACAACATCGGCAAGGGTATGATCAACGCCAACTACGTTAGCACCATTCAGGTAAGACTTCCACACGTGTCCAAACTGGCACAGATCTGACAACAGCAGCGTATGATTGCCGAGGGCCACCAGGTCGCCAGCCACACGTGGTCTCACGAGAACCTCGACTCCTTGACCCTGGCCCAGCGCAAGAACCAGATGGTGTATAACGAGATCGCCTTCACCGACATTTTGGGCTTCTACCCTACGTACATGCGTCCTCCTTACTCCATCTGCGGATCCGAGTGCCAGGGACAGATGGCCGATCTTGGTTATCACATCACCTACTTTGATCTCGACACTCAGGGTTATCTGCACACTGACCCTAGCCAGATTGGCGTCAGTGTCAACTTGTGGGACCAAGCCATGCAGGCCAAGTCTCCTTGCAACGGCTCCTACTTGCACATCGAGCACGACATTCATCAGCAGATTGCCCAGGTTCTTACTCCTCACATTCTGGACTCCGTCGTCGCCAACGGCTGGAGGGCCGTTACCGTCGGCGAGTGCTTGGGCGATCCCGTTGAGAATTGGTACCGTCGTGGCAACCCGGGTTACAACTTCAAAATCACCGCATCCAGCCCTGCGGTCTGCGCTAGCACGGCATCCAAGACAACCACTGCAGCTTTCTCTACCGGTGGCGCGACCACCCTTCCCACCTCCACGTCCCTGGCTGTCTCAACTGACGCTTCCTGCGGTGGAACCAGCGGAAACACCTGTCTTGGATCTAGCTTTGGAAACTGCTGTTCCGTCAACGGCTGGTGTGGTAGCACCAACGCGTACTGCGGATCGGGTTGTCAGTCCAAGTTTGGTAACTGCGGAAGCAACGCCGGCTCCAGCAGCACAGGTAGGACTTCATCTACTTCTCGTCGCAGCACCAGCAGCTCCTCCTCGCGCACCAGCTCTTCTTCGCGTGGCAGCTCGTCGACCGCTCGCACGAGTTCCAGCTCGTCCTCGCGGGTTTCTAGCTCCAGCTCGCGTTCCAGCACTGGCACGTCGCGCACCAGCTCCAGCTCAAGCACTCGTAGCAGCTCTGGTTCCAGCTCTCGCACTTCCGCTACCGGAAGCGTCACTGCTGCCACCACCGGGTCTACCTCTCGCACAGGAACTTCTTCTCTGACTCGATCATCTTCAGTCTCGGGCTCTACTTCAGGCTCTATTTCCGGGTCAACCCGTTCTACTTCTGCCTCCGGTTCTTCTACCGGCTCCGCCACTGCTGCGTCCGTCTCCGGCTCGGCGTCTTCTTCTGCTTCGGCTTCTGGCTCCGTTTCCGCCCAGTCTGGCTCATCCACGGCCAGCGCGGCTTCGGGCTCGTCATCTGCCTCTCGCTCCAGCACTGGCACCGCTGCTCTTCCCTCTTCCACCCTTCCTGTCTCAGACAACGGCGAGTGCGGCAGCAACAACGGCAGAACCTGTATCGGCTACTCTCAGGGCAGCTGCTGCTCCCAGTACAACTACTGTGGAAGCACCGATGCTCACTGCGGCACCGGTTGCCAGAGTGTCTTCGGTACCTGTGGCGCCTCCGTCAACGCTACCTCTCCCAGTGGCACCGCAAGCGCCGCGGCCGGCTCAAGCGCCCGCCCCAGCTCTGCCGGTACCGCTTCTGCCTCTGCTCCTCTCGCAAGCTCTACCTTCCCGGCCACCAGCGATGGTACGTGTGGTGCCGCGGCGGGCAAGAGCTGTGTTGGCTACTCTGGAGGCACCTGCTGTTCTCAGTACAACTACTGCGGTAACACCGATGCCCACTGCGGTACTGGCTGCCAGTCTCTCTTCGGCAGCTGCCAGAGCTCCGCGTCCGGTGGAAGCTCTGCAGCAAGCTCCGCTGCCGGCCAGGCTAGCGGTACCCGCACTGCTTCCGCCTCGGCCTCCACCAACACCAACCCTTCCAGCGACGGTACTTGTGGTGGTACCCAGGGCTTCAACTGCTTGGGTACCAATTTCGGTGACTGCTGCTCGCCTTACGGCTACTGTGGTAGCACCACCGCTCACTGCGATACGGGCTGCCAGAGCGGCTTCGGAAAGTGCTCTGGCACCGGCTCGGACGTGAACGTGTCTCTTGATGGAAAGTGCGGCAAGACGGGCACCTCGGGATCGGAGACCTGCCAGGGCTCCACCTTTGGAAACTGTTGCTCGGCTTACGGCTACTGCGGTAGCACTGATCTTCACTGTGGCACTGGATGTCAATCCAGTTTCGGCACATGTGGTATGTCAACCGAGGTCACAAGCGCATCGACGCTGACCTCTTCTATCTTACCTTCTGCTAACACTACTTCTCAGGCTCTTCCTCCGCAGCAACCTCCTCTGCCAGATAATACCTCGACCGTATCTTCGTCCCAATTGACCACCACGGACAGCTCGACTGTTGCTACTACTAGTAGTGCTTCGGTTGTTGCCGATGTCATTGGCAGCTCGACTGTTGTTACTGCTGGTAGTACTTCCGTTTCTGCTGATGCCATTGGTAGCTCAACGGTCGTCACTACCAGTAGTGCTTCTGTTTCTACTGATGCCGTTGCCAGTTCGTCTGTTGTTGTTACTAGTAGTCCTGTCGTTGTTCCGGATGTCGTTGTCAGCTCCTCTGTCATCATTACCAGTAGTGCTGTCGTTTCTCCCGATGCCGTTGTTAGTAGCAGCTCTAGCAGCTCGTCTTCTAGCAGCGTCACCAGCAGCAGCGTTCAGTCTTCTAGTAGTAGTAGCAGCAGTTCCAGCAGCGATACCAGTAGCAGCGTTCAGTCCTCTAGCAGCAGCAGCAGCAGCAGCATCTTCAGCTCCTCCACGTTGTTGACATCCACCACGACCTCCTCCTCCGCTGCCCCTTCGCAGACGGCCAAGGTTGTCAAGGTCGCCAACAACGTCGGTGACTCCTGTGGTTCGACATTGGGACAAAAGTGCGGGACGGGTCTTTGCTGCACGAGTAAAGGTCAATGTGCGACTACAAAGGTGTGGGTTTGGAACAATAGCAATTGCTACGCGTTCAACGGCTGCCAGCCGGAATGGGGTACCTGCTTCTAAAAAAGGAGAAGATGAAAAAAGTTCAGCGCTGCTTTTGATGACAACAAAAATTGTTGTCTGCCAATAAAGTACATGGGGTGGGAAGAGAGGTAAACTTCTGTTGTAATCACTAATTTCTTTTCTTTTTTCTTATTCTCTTGTCATGTCTTTCTTTTATCTATTTGTTCCGGAGTTTCATGGATTGGGGAGCATCATCATTGACATAGAGCGATCAATACCTCTCATTTTTTGGGCAGAACAAGCTTGTAAAGTAGCCCATTTGGGTTTATTAGAGAAAGAACTAATTGATCTCTCGTTTCAATCAATTCTTGAGAGTTTCATCTGTTTAAGACATCCTGCCTGAAGCTCATCTGCACTGCGTACTAAAGGTAACAGCGGAATCCATCACAGCAAGCATATGACAACGAATAGTCTAGCAGTTAGGCATCATGGAAGTCAACAACATCATGAGTGAAAGCTTCTCATTCAATGCAGTGTATTCAGCAAGGTCTGGCCCAATCTATCTAGCTTTGCGAGAAACAATCCCCTTCCTGGGTATCTGAATCCTTGTCCAACGCCTTGAATACTCCTGAGCTTTCCGGACCAACTTCATTACCTGCCAAGCCTTCTCCAATCTTCAATTCAACCTGCAAAAAATCAAAAATCGCCCTTGATCTCATAAGTTTGGGCATGGTTCCAAATGCTTTGTTCGTACAAGCTGCCTCTTTGACGGACGTGCTCGTTCAGTTCTCAGACTCGTGGGTGCGGTTGAGAGTGCAGCGGGCGGCACTACCGATCACGCTGAGAATGCTCTCCATGTGGTTGAGCCGGTTGAAGGAGGCATTGTCCTGCTCACGCTGGAGGCGGACGGCCTCGCTCAGATCCTTGATGGCGCTCTCGTGGTAGGAGTGGATTCGGGAGTTGAGGCCGCTAGTGCGGGTGACGTGCTCGGTCAGAGCAGCCAGGTCCATGTCGGCAGGCTGTTGGTCGAGGGCGGCAGAGTTCTCCTTGCGAAGAGCCTCAGCGTGGGCCAGCTTGTCGGTGGCCTGCTTGTGGAGGACGTCGATTATGGCCTGGGTTTGGGCTGTCTTGGCGGCCTCGAGGTTCTCTACGGGACTGCTTCTGGTACGGCGAGAGCCGGCGTTCGGAGTGACGGGCATCTGGCGTTGACCCGTGTTGTTCCTGTTGGAAGTCGCAGCGTGGTTGCTGGTCATGGGAACGCGGGGAAAGGAGGTCACCATCAGGGCGGCGGTCGGGCCGGGGTTGGCGTCCTGGCTCTGGTTGCGGGAGGATGAAGCAACGGTCTTGGGGGTGCCCTTCTTGGAGGACTTCTTGAGAGGAGCCAAGGCGCTGGCCATGAGCTTGTTGAGGAGGGGTGTGTCCTCGTTGTCAGTGTAGTCGTTGTGGGAGAGGCGAGACAGCCGGGCGCGCTTGGCGGCCTCGTCGTCCTCGTCAGAGGCCTTGCGCTTTCCCTTGGCCTTGGAGCTCTCGGACGGATCATTTAACAGATCAGCGAACGGATCAGGCTGCTTGAAAGAAGCATAAAGGTCGGCAAACTCGGCGTCAGGAGAAGCGGTGCCGCTTTCATCCGTCTCCTGGACAGGCTGGCCGGAGATGCCGGCGATGGTCCACTTGTGGATGTTGTGGGCGAGGTCGGAGTGCTTGGCATAGTATTTCTGCTGGATGTCGTAGATGCCGCCTTCGATGGCGCCCTTCTCGTAGCACAGGGCCAGGGCGACGACCTCGGCGGCCTTGGGCTCGCGGTCGTTTTCGTATTCGTTCTGGATGTACCACAGGAGGTTGCAGTCGTTGGGGTCGGGGAACTCGACGCGCTGCTCGATGACGTCGATGATGGCCATGCGGAAGGCATCGGTGACATTGGAGGGAATGCGGTCGATGAGGAATTGGTGGTATTCGACCAGCTCGGGAGACTTGGTGTTGACCATGGTGGCGGTTGTCGGGTGAGGGATTGGAAGGATGACGTTCGTGGGTGGTCGTCGATATATACCGGGTGGAGGGTGAATGCGAATATTGTTGTTGTGGTGAATCACTTTGTGTGGTTGTGATGTTGTGTTGAGGTGTTGTGGTGGGAGAGTCGAAGTGGGTGACGGATACTTATAGCTGGTGATGAGGTGAAATAACCAAGGGGTGGAGGAAGGAAGGAACGACACGCCAGTCCCTTTCGATCTTGTTTTCGTACGTCTGACCGAACTCGTCTTCAGCTAGGTGGTTGAAATCGGGAGCTAATTGATTATTCGTTGTGGAGGAGGGTTTGGCGTGGGGGGTTGAGAACAAAAAGGGTGATATTTGTGGGCTGGGTCGAGGACTGCAGATGAGGAAGAATTGAGGAAGCTGCGGCCCCGGTATCAGCTTGTCTTCTCGCTCCAGGTAGCGAGTTTTTGGTCGTGTAGTGAGAAGTAAGGATGCAATGTCAAAGACTTGGGGAGATGTGGTGTCGTGGAAACCGGAGTGCAAAGAGAAAATTATTTAATTCGTGGGGTGCGGTAGCAAAGAAAGCGCAGTGACGAAAAGCACCAATGTGCAGCCTTCTCAGTTCCCGAGAGTGGATGACTGGGAACTGATGGTGAATGTGAAATGTTGCTGTGGAAGAGGAAGTCAGAAGAGCAGAGAGGTGAGGGTTTGTGGGATGAAGCTGTCACCAGGACATCAAAAAGAAGGAACGACTAGGTAGTCAGTGGTTCACTGATTCTACTCTTTTAAAAGCTGTATCTCAAAGACACCTGGAGAGTGCTGGCGGTTTTCACAGAGAGGTTCACAGAGTGCCCAGGAAACATATAACGCGAGAGACGTAGTGGCAAGAATTTGGGTAGAAATGGTGGAAAGAGCGAGAGGCAGTGATTCATAGCTTTTCCTCCAACACCATGACATGCAATACTTGAGGGGCTCCGGGCGGCTGCCAACAGTGTTGCTCTTTGGGTGAAGCATTGGGGAACTTTGACGGACCGTTAGATCATGTCGACAGAGAGTGAGGGAAACAAACATACAATGACGAGAGAAAGCATAGTCTCAGTACACACCATGTGTCTTCCTGGGTATGCGTTTGACAAAGGATATGACTTGTTTAAGCAATACAGGCCGAAATTGAATAGACTGTTCCCCAAGGCGGTCAGTTGCTGGAATACAGCGTCAGGTTGTACAGGTTTTCAAGAGGACCATTCTAAATGGGCAGCGTTGGCCATGTCATGTCGTGATATCCCGATTCAGGTCTTTGGCAGGAGTCACTTTGGCAGGTGCTAAGACGGCAGGCCCCAGGACAGCAGGTCTCTTTGGACGGTACACGAGGAAAGGTGGGACGCCACGGTAAACTGCGTCCCTGTTAGTGATTCTTGCCGGGGGGTTGATCGCACGAGAACCCAAGGAGATATTCGACCATGTGATGGCGCAGCAAACCCTCAATCCAGTCCGGACTTGTTGTCTCTATATTGTCTGTTGTCTTCGTTGTGTCCGAGATGACTGCCGTCGTCAATGTGTTATGAGCTCTTGCTGGGAGATGATATCTGATGGAAGGTGTGGTCGAAAGCCAGATAGACTTTGGAAGCAGGAGGACCTCGCAAATAGGGAAGGGCCCAGATCAAGGTCGCGTACCTTAGATAAGGCAGGATCCCGCTCTTAACTAGGTAGTCGCGCTTCAGGTAACTTCCTAATGGCCACCTGCTTCCCTTCTCCTTAAGTATCTCTGGGACTCGACCAAAACCAATCGTATCTTCCAGAAACACCTCCCGCAGGCAACGAGAAAAACATCATTCAACTGACCACAGACCTTCACGACAAGATTCTTCCAGCAGATCTCAGTGCATAGGTCAGTAAAATGAACGGACACGGCGGCGATTAAGTACTGACATCACTCATACCAGCATACCTTATCTCGGAACCGATGGCTTCTTTGGATGCCAATCGCCATCAGTTTACACGAAGCCCAAACTCGAGCTGAGAAACGCCACTGAATGTTGCGACTTGCCCATATTGTCAACCATGGACTCACTCCAGGGTCCCGAACTCCGGGAATATATCCGTGAACTCGAACAGCAGGTTGTGAGCTTGACAAGACAGAACACCTATCTTCAACACAAGACCAGCAGATGGGAAGGATTCTTCATCGACTTTGGCCTTGAATAGGAACTCAAGAAAGTCATTTCGAAGGAAGCTCAGCCCACATCCCTGAAGTATCGCCAATGGTCTATCGAGACCACGTGGAAGCCAGATCGTTCTACATCTGCATGGGATTACAGCCGCGTGAGAGTAGTGGGCCAGCTGTTCATCCATATCCTCCACATAATCCGGCAGGGACGCCTAGATGCGCCTGAGCATGAATTCGTTGCCGCGATGAATAAACTAACACAAATAATCTCGAACAGCTCCCAAGCCAATAAAGCCGCTATCCGCTGGCTTCTGGGTGTCTGCAACGGAATCTACGAGAACGACAACGGTCCGGTCAAGATGGCGATATGGGCACTTGCAGACGTTCTTCACAAAAGATGGGATCCACAGCTATCAAACGCTTACATCACGGCGCCGCCCATTTTCACGGAGGCGTTGAAAATCGATCAAGTTCGCCAGGCAAACGATCCTCGCGGGGTCTATGCGGTGCGTGTTCGAGTCGCACCCGAGCAAAAGATAGCATCATTTGTCAAGGTCCCGTCTTCGCCATATCTTGTCTTGTTATACCCAGAAGAAGACGGAAAGAAGTTCGCATGCGTTGATGTAGGCCTGCTGTCATAGGATGGGATCGACGGTAGAGTGCGCGTCGCCGGCCCAGGCGAAAAATTCTTTGAGCTTGACCGAAACCAAACAGACCACGAGGACTTTTTCATGAAGTGTTTAGACTGGTACTCATGAGATGAAGTCAGAGAGCCATTGGAGGCCAGGCAGGGGCGGTAACAAGACCAAAAGTAGTAGCATAGACATGCGAGGAAACCCACGAGAAGCATAGACTTGGAGCATTAGTTCAACCGGATGAGTTATAGAAGGCGCAAAAGATAAATACAAAGAGACTGAAAGAATACTTCGTGCGGTTGCAACGTGAAGCGTGCAACCAAATTTGATCTGGTATGAGACAAGAAAGCATCGAAACTTTGTCGTATTGCATAAGTGAGGTTGCGCGCACTGCGACAAGAAAAGTCATCCAAGGGTATGCTTCTAGATCCAAGAGGACATTCGGGGATAAGACATCTCTAACGCCTACCGAAGTTGAACCTAGACTCTGTCGAGGGGACCCCTGAACCCTTGATGTGTTCAGAGGGGAAGGCCTCGGACACAGCGCTCAGGCAGTCGGTCGCCAGGTTGCCGCAGAATTCATCGGTCGCTGAACTCCTTCTTTCTCAATGCCTTTGCCTGAGAGATAGCAATAATTATCACCACAACTCATCAAACCGTCTACAAATTCTGCCAGCGCGGGCCATTTCGTTGACCAAGATACCCCTTCCAAGTCATGACGTCTAGCGAACAAGCTCAGAATGACGGCTTGAGTTTATGCAGGGCGAAGGCCACATCGCAGCACGCGACGGGCCACGCGAGATCAAACTCTGTGGTAACTTCTGACTAGCGCCTCACTGAGTTCTGTCAGCTTTTTAAGCTTATCGTTATTTCTCCACGGGCAGGAATTGACTCGACGTCGTTGAAAATTTGACGACGACCAATGTCCTTCTCAAGGAACAATAAGCTGAAAGAGACAAGTATAGCAGATAATTCTGTGTACACTGATGGCAAACAAGGACCAATGTCGAAACAAGTGTGTAGCAGGCATCATGAAAAACATCACCGTGCCGCCAAGATGTGAAGACGCGACAAAAAGAAACTTGACCAGCCTGGGGGTCGAACCCAGAATCTCCTGATTGCACGATGAATCGTAGTCAGACGCCTTGCCATTGGGCCAACCGGCCGCTTCAGCTGAATGAGCCGAGGTGGTTGTTGGAAAACGCGAAGCAGAACCTGCTCAAGACGCTAGGAGGGGGCCGGCGAAGAGATTTTTCTTCGCATGAGCACGAGACTGGAGACGATGAGCTAGTTCAGTGGAGAACGGGCGGGAGAAAAGAGAGAAAACACCAAGGAAAAGTGGACTCGACGTTGGTCGGTGGATCAGGTATGATGGAGCAGAAGAAGAAAAAAACGCTCGGATAGGAAGGGAAGCGAAAGGATTCCCGTCAAAGGCTTGAGTCGTTGACGAGGCGTGCTCATTGGCTCACCGCAGGCCGGGCTCCCGGGTGGATCGGCCGGAGCATTTCGGTCACCAGAGCCCATCCCGGAACAGTTTCCAAAAAGGCAACATGTTTGCGCGCGAGGGGCGAAGCGAAGCGACGGCGGCGACGCTGTCAGATATTGCGCCAAGTCCCGTCAATTCCAATCAAACAGAATTGTGCGATTGTGATTCAATGTCCGAGTGGACCGCCATCCACTCCGCAAAACCCATCAGAGAGGGTTACATTCGCAATGTCGATCAGATTCCGGAGAGATGGAGGCCCGTCTTGTGCCAACCTTCTTTTTTCCGTTGCGTTCTTGTTCGAATCGACCACACCCACACAGCAGCGATTTACGCTTTTTGCACGCAAAGAGACGAGACGACCGCAACGTACATGGCGTATTACCCGCATGCGCCCGAGCATTGACCAACACACGAAACATGTTTCTGTGGACGGGCAACCCATGAAACGATAAACCCCTGTAATTGGCATCATAGCGCCAAGATATCTCGTGTCATACCTATCGGATCGGTGTTATTGATGTCACTGGGGCCAATACGGACCCGATTCCGAGAAGACTGCAAACGAAATCACCAAACACATGACCATTGAGAAACAAATCGTCTGACGCTTGGATTGCTCGTCGTGGCTATGTACTTCCGCGCTCCGGTCTCAACTACCCCTGAACCCTCCGTGCAGCGCCGGTCCAAGCCAAATGGCTGGAGAACCCCTTAGGACCGGACGTCCTGTGTAGAATAAGCTTTTTTTGTCATATCGTTACAGATCCAGCAGTCCGTAGACTGTCCTGGTACTCTGCTTTCCGTAGCCCTCGTGAATCAAGCAACCGGCACCAGTGCCGGCGACCCTTCCATTACGCCTCCAACACCGCAAAAAGCAGATAGCTTAGTTGGGCTTGGCGACGGGGAGCGCAGGAGCGACAGGAGCCGGGGCGACGGCGGCGGGAGCAGCAGCAGCGGGCTTCGCGGCAGCAGCAGGGGGAGCGGCAGGAGGAGCAGCAGGAGGAGCGGCGGCCGGGGCAGCGGGAGGAGGAGCACCAGCAGCACCACCGGCGGGAGCAGCAGCGGGCGGGTTGGTTCCCTTGCCCTTGGCCGCAGCACCGCCAGCCGGCGCGGCGGCGGGGGGAGCAGCGCCCTTACCCTTGCCGGCAGCACCAGCAGCGGGAGCGGCGCCCTTGCCCTTGGCAGCACCGGCAGCAGGAGTAGCCTTGCCCTTGGCCTTCGCGGCGCCGGCGTTGGCCTTGGCGGCCTTCTTCGCCTTCTTAGCCTTCTTCGCCTTCTTGCCCTTCTTTCCCTTCTTGCCCTTCTTCTTCTTGAGCAGCTGGCGGGCGCGGACGGGGACGGCCTCCTCCTCGTCCTGAACGTCGGCGATCACACCACTGGTGGTCTCAACTCCGTTGAAGGAGGGGACGGAAACCCCGCGGGGCTCCTGGTCGCGCTCCTGCAACTGCTGATCATAGTTGGTGAAACTGCGGTGCGTGTTAGTGATGGTCCTTTGAGATACTGCAACTGTGACTTACGTGACAGCCCTGCTATCAACATCGGCGGGAGCACTGCTGACGCTAACGAGTGTCGAGGCGAGGAAGAGGGAGAATGTGAGGAACTTCATTTTGTTGGACTGAAGGAACCGAAGTTATTGATGAATTAGATTATCGAACCCGGTCGATTTGATGAACTGAAATTGGTTGTAAGGGAATGTATGTATTAAATCTGGTATTGTGAGGCCTGCCGTCGAATCAATCCAAGAACTGCCAAGAGAGAGGATGAGTTGAAGCTTTTATGTACTCACCCGCCTCTCGTCCCGAACAAGGACCTCAACCAGACTGAGAGTGGCGTGAAGCGGAACATGTCGAGAGAGGGTGACCGAGAGCCTGAAACCCCCAAGCCCAGGGGCAGACAGATGTCAATGTCCAGGCGCGATGTGCTGAGCCACTCCCAGGATTCGCGTGAAGAGACCGGATTGTGTAGATGGTGCATCTGCTGCTGCTGCCTCTCTCATCGCATCATTCAGAATAGCAACACCGTTGAGTCAGGCCAACCGCAGAGTCGTGTTTCGGAACTCGGTCCATCGTCGTCCAAAGTCCCTTACATCCAGACCTTCAAAGGGGCAAGGTGCTCGAAGCAACCGAAACTCTAATCCTTCGTCCGATGTCGCCAGTCTCCCTCACCCTATCTCTCCTTTTTTTTTTTTCCCTCCTCGCGTATCATGCTCTGCAGACGAGAAAAGGACCCCACAGCGCCAGCTAAGGTTATTCATGCTTGAATCGAATGCGCTCTCATCTGTATGGCCGCCCCTGGCCTGGTCTCAGCGACAGAGCAGGAGGAACAGGAGCCCACACGCTGGTATAACCACAGCCGCGGGTGATCGGCCCTTGTCTGGCTCGTGCCTTTTTGCAAGATCCCCCCTTGCTGTCCTCACCACGTTTGAGGCAGTAAGCTTTCTGGCCCGAAGGCGTCGGGGCCACAAGCTGCAAAACATCTTGCAAGGAGGCGAGAAAAGTCAAACCGCCTCAAACCACCTCGCCTCGTCCGACCTGGCTTCGCTTTCTGCCCAGAGCCATTCGTTGCATTGCCATCCACGACTCGACACCGAGAACGAAGGCTTTCGATAGGCTGGAAGTTCAGCCGTTCCCTTGGAGGATTACGCACATTGTAACTTCTGTCAAGAACCGTTTATCTTCCCAGTTTACAAATGACCAGGACATGGTGATGTCAAGTAAGCATACCTGCCTAAGCATACTTGCCCATGACGCTAGCGTCCGGCCCCCAATGGAGCTCGAACCAATTTCGGATCTCTTCGTCGCCGAGTAAAGCTCGTTGAAAATTTGCATATTCGCGATGCAAAGGATCAAAAGACTGACGCGTCGCGGGTAGAAAGTGCCGGTCTAGGTCGATCGCCGCTGTCAATCAAGCTTTCGTGACACTGGAAGGCTTAGGTTTGGGAAGCAGGCGGTACTCCTCAGTAGCAGAATGCGCCACAAAACCTGCCGGAATACCGAGCAATTGGGAGCGCCATCAACTGCCTCGAACTGCTAGTGGATTCCTGTCTGGCGAGCTCTCACGCGATCCGTAGGTTCCGCCCCCGCGGGGAAGAAAAGGGGACCCAGTCTGCTGGTGTTCAGACCCCCCCTGGTCCAGTATCAGAACGTGGTAGTGTGTAGGAAAGACCCGGCTGCGAGTCTGCCTGCATGCAGCCGCAAGGCCCTCGCTGGCCGAAAAAGCCTGGACCGCACCACGCAGAACCTGAGAAACGGGCTGTGTCGCCACGGGCATCACATGATGTCGACGTTGAGGTGCAACGGCGGTGGCCGAGGGATCCAGGGTGACGCCCTGCACAGAAAGGGACGTCTGCCCCTTCTCGTGATATTTGCAGATCCTTTGTTCCAAAAGGGATCCTACGCCCGTTTGCAGCGGTTGCATGTTGGTTACATGTCTTGGCAACCCCAGATTCGCGAGCCTACTGGATCTCCAAGATCGGCTGGATGATTTGGAAGGAAAAATCTTTGCGATTCGAGACACGGGCCAGGCGGTGGCCTGTCGATGTATTTCGGGAAGTTTGAGCCGTGGTGGTTTGGAGACAAGTTTTGCCGGAGTCGCCAAAGCGCATCGCGAAGAACGTCGCAGCCGGGTTTCCACACTATGATCGCCTGCTCTCCCGCGGCGGAGACGAACAGTTGCCTCGTTGAGGTCCGGTTTGGAATATCTGCTTCATCTGGAGATGGTGACAGTCCTTCTGACATTGCCGATGGGAGCAATTGTTCTGCGGATGATGGCTGCCGTTCGCTAGCGACGGCCTATTTTTGAGACGGCGACTTTTTTTCTTCTTGATTGTGGACGCTGCTGTCGTCTGGACGGACCTTCAAACATTGATCGCGCCATCGCAAGAATTACCAAACGGGAAATGTCCAAGTCACCTGACTGGTGTAAGAGAAGCTGTCGCCTGAGGAACAATCCGGAATCTGTCGACGTGAATCATCTCGTCGAGGAGCCCGCGCGTCCCAGGCGGTCGGTTCTGGCCGCATTAACGGTCGATCGTAAGCACCTTGTTGTTCGGGCGCAGATGAGGCAGCAATGCAAGAGTTGAGATCAGAGACGGGCACTGGCTGATGTCGCGGCGGGAAAGACGTGAAGTCGCAGATGACATGTAGTCACCACCCGCGCCCATGATGAAAAGACGTTGAGAGTCGCGCATCCCACGTAGCTTTTACGGGCAAGGCTGACAGGTGCATGAGCTGAGATAAGCTTGGGGAAGCGGTTCAGATGGATATAAAGAAGATTAAAGGCAAAAGAAACTCCCGTTAGTGCAGCTAAACTCAGCAAGCATTTAGGTCAACTTTATTGCGCGCAGTGGGCGTCGATAGGCCCCGGGCGGGCGGGCGTACTAAGGTTGCAAAGTTAACCTTAGTTTTAGGGGCATTCCGTGATGACGCCAGGCACCAGGGCGGCAGTCTGTCTTATCAGCCTTATCAGTGGGTCTCTGTCTGCTTAGATGGATAGGAGTGCTTAGACGACTATTTCTCCAGCCTACCCTATTAAGCAAGAAGGCATGGCCCGCATAATGTACCATATGCATCAATCGAGCATCCCCCTCCTGTACGTCAGTGCATTGCAGCTCCGGCGCGGTTCTTCAACAATGTCATACCGCTCCCGACAGCCTCCGATCTCTCTTCACCACCACGCCGCATCCGCCCGCCACCCACCCACCACCCACCACCTCCGAGGCAGTCAAGTCAGATTGCGCGTGCGCGTGCGTGTGCGTCACAATGCCCGGCGACGAAGGAACGGCACCCGCAGCCACGGCCGTATCTTCAACAGCGGGAGATCAGTCCGCAGCATCAGCAGCAGCCACCACCACCACACCGCCGCCCGACGCCAAGATCAACGCCAAAGATGGCCGTTCCTACTGGCAGGGCATCGATGCCGACGTGAACGGCATGCTGGGTGGTTTCCCCTACATCAGCAAGGTCGACCTGCAGGGCTCGCGCAACTTTCTGGCCAAGCTGGGCATCGGCACGAAAAGCGGTCTGCGGACGGTGAGCCGCGCTCTGGAAGGCGGGGCCGGGTGAGTTTTTCTCTCTCTTCGCTTTCCTCTTGTCATTGTTCTCAGGTCCGAGGGGTTCGTCAATCCGGTACCCGTTACATTCAAGTGTCATGTATCCGGCGGAAGGTTGACGGCTGGTTTGGTTCTGGTTGCTCCCATCTCACATCACCAACACCACCACCACCACCGACATACACGGACCCCCGTCGTTATTTTCCCTTTTCACCGCCATATCGTCACTCAACTCCCTCACCGCCTCTCACGTCCTCTCAGTCCTACCCCTTCTTTTCGCCATCCCATGCCCATCACCTCTCCCCTAACCCACCGCAACAACGACACTGCAAGGCGGGCCGAGCTAATGATTTGCCTCGCCTGACCCCGTTGTTCTGCGCCCTGGGCCTTCTCCATTTTGCCTCCTCGTGTCGGAACCTCTCACCAGTACCTCTGACATACACCCCCTGCCCTTGTCTCCCCGACCCAAGTCTCCGTACCATGTCACGACCATCCCTGCTGACCCTCGAACCCCAGCATCGGCCGCATCACAGAGGGACTCATGCTTGATGTAGCTGAACAAGTCGACATTGTCGAACCCATCGCCAAGTTCACCGCCGCTCTTCAGGAGAAGTTGGGCGTCGGTTCCGTCTTCAACATTGGTCTCGAGGAGTGGAAGCCCCTCGACGGCACCGCTTACGACCTTGTCTGGAACCAATGGTGCGTCGGCCACCTGACCGACAAGCAGCTCGTTGCCTACCTGCGTCGTTGCAAGGAGGTCATTGCTCCCACCGACGGCGTGATCGTCGTCAAGGAGAACCTGAGCACTAGCGGTGTTGACCTGTTCGACGATGTCGACAGCAGCGTGACAAGGTGAGTTAGCATGCGCTCTACCCGGCCCCGTTCATCCTTCCCGAGCTTTCGTCCCTTACACTCCATCACCAATCACCGCGGTGGCAAAATTTCTGCCGGAATCAAACGCCGGCCAGGCCCTGTTTTCTCGTCCTCTTTCCTTGTTCCTTGCCCCCAATGGCCCGTGTATACCGATGCATGCAAGACACCTGCATAGACTGACGCAAGTGCAACAAACACACAGAGTGGATGAGAAGTTCCGCAGCCTCTTCGAGGAAGCGGGTCTCCGCCTAATCAGGACGGAGCTGCAGCGTGGCTTTCCCAAGGAACTGTTCCCGGTACGCATGTACGCACTGAAGTAGTGCAGACGACGAGGCAGAAACCAGCGGTGGCGGACAGAACAGGCGGGGGCCAGACACGACACCCGTGGCGGCGAACGTCGGCGGCGGCGGCGGTAAGCGGCAAGCCAACCATGGATCCGGGGCTGATGCCCGGGAGACCAGGGGATTGGGGGGCCGGCCGGATGGACGACGATGGAGGAATGGTACGGGCTAGACTAGCCCCCAGGTGCAGAAACCCCCTAGGGCTAGGTCATCCCGCGTGCGTCCCGGCCTCTTCAGGCCCAGGCGAAGCCAGCATGGGATGGGATGACATGGCGGCTCGGGCTCCGATCTAACTGCACGATGCGGCAGGCCCCCGGTCGTTCGTTCGTGGGAACCACTTTA